CGCGCCGCGCGCGCTCCTCGGTGCGGTGCAGCTGGATCTTGGTATTGTGGAGCTCGACCTTGAGGTCGGCGCTGATGGTTGTAGCCGTCACACGCTGGACCCGAGCGGCTTCGTGCAGCGCAGCGACTTGGGCTCGGAGCTCGGTGATCACATTGTCTCTGGCGGCAAGCGTTGCGTCTTTGGAGGCGACGACGGTCTGCAGCGCCTTGGTACTTTGGGCCGCGCACTCGGTCGTGCGGTGGAGTCGAATCTTCAAATTGTGTACTTGGACCTTGAGGTCGGCGCTGATCTCGGTAGCAGTGACGCGCTGGACCCGCGCGGCTTCGTGGAGGTCGGCGACGTTGGTCGTGAGGTGGGCAATGGTCGTGTCTTGGGTGGCGACTTTCGTCTGCAGCGTCTGGATGGTCTCGACATTGTCAGGCAACGGACGAAGCTGCGTGTCGTACCCTGCCTTGGCACTGCCAAGGCAGGGTATGACGGCTGCCAACTTGGCAGCCGTCAAGAGCTTGTAGGCAAAAGGGCGGAGGCCGAGAAGCACGCGGCGCATCCCGAGGGTGCGGACGAGCATGGCCATGAGGAAGCCGGCGGCGAGGTAGCGCTGGGATTTGGCCCTCGTGCGCGGAATGTAGAGCGCAAGGAAGCCAAGCATCGGGGTGGGCGTCGTCATCATCGTGGTAGAGCAGTGTACGTTTGAAAATGAGGTCACTAGTAAAAGCAGGCGTCGTCATCATCGTGGTAGAGCAGTGTACGTTTGAAAATGAGGTCACTGGTAAAAGCAGCGTCCGAGCCTTTTGTACGAACGCCTTTGCGTTAGGAAGCTCTGGCTATTGCTTCTTCTCAACCTAACGTCGATTGTTCAGATGGACTATCGATGACACTCGTAGTGCATTCACCTACAGTGTAGAGGCTATGGATATGGGATCCTGCGCTGGGAACTGCCAATATCGCAATCGCAAGCATCCCCAACTACCTGCTCGTAGTCGTGTTGCCCGATTTGATCGATTGCTAGTAGCAATTATCGGGCTCCAGGTGGAGGTGAAGTCATGCAAGGGTGTACCAGGTTGCACGTCGAAAGAGAAAAAGGTTGTCGGTGGATCGTGCGCATGTGGCGGGAAATCCCGCATACCTCGGTAATCCGATATTTGGAATATGTATTGTTGGAGTGCATATCTTTGGTCAGTTCCCGATGGCGCCACAACAAGCAAGGACGAGATAGCGCGCTGGACAAGGAGAACGACCGGGTGGAAGCGCGGCCGATGCACGGGAAGAGCGTCGTGGGACCGAAGGCAACTGCCGGCCTGCACTCCATGTGCTACCGCCCCGCCGGCGACAGCGCAGGTCCGTGACCTCGTCCTGTACGATGAGCTCAAGTGATGGCGGGATGTAGAGCCCCACTAACGTTAGCAGACGATCAAGCCATACGACCAGGAGCGGCAAGAAGCGAGTGGCCGACGCCAAGCCCGGTGCCAAACGCGAACCCCAAGAGGTACCATCGGCCAGCTCTGGCAGGGATTGACCGACTGCAATCTAGGCTGCGACTGCAGTGATGAGCTTCCATTACGCGGTCCTCACTCTGTGGTCATGAGGTCTACTATACACGTACTAGTAGCGCAAGTGGTGGTGACACGGAGGTTTGATTATTTGGAGCACTTCCACGACCGCGTCGTCGCTACACGCAGATGGTTACGGCGCGCTCGGTGGCGGAGGCGGCGCTTCGGCCACGTCGCTCATATGTGCATCGTCGTCGCCGCACTTGGCGCTCTCAGCCTTTTTGGCCTTGGCGGCCTTGGCCTTGGACCGCTTCGAGACGTCGTCTTCGCACTTGACGCGCTTGGGATTGGACCCACTGCTGGGCTTAGCCTTGCGTTTCGGCGCCGTCGCAACCGGGGAGCTCGGCGGCGTGATCGAGAGCGTCGGCATGAGCACAGGCGTCGCGCCCGACGCCTCCCACTCGGCCACGTCGGCCATGAACGACTGCAGCCGCGCGCCCCACGGACACGTGAGCGGCAGCTTCATGTACTCGTTGAGGACGACTTGGATCTTGGCGTTCTCGAGCTTTTTGCCCGTATTGACGAGCTTGGCCACGATCTTCTTGGTCTTGGAGACCCA